AACCCAAGAACTGCGAGATCATGACCTAAGCGAAAGTCGGACGCTTAACCGACTAAGCCACCCAGGCGCCCCGAGAAATTTTTTAAAAACTATAACTGAAGAGTTTAAATACTACCGAAACAGCTTCCCTAGACATTCCATTTTATTTATGCAGTAAAATAAATCTGTTAACTGATACAATTTCAACATGAACATCTAAGATTTTTTTTTACCTCAACAAGGGGTTTACGAATGATTGACGGTGATAGTCCAAATCTCACCACAACTTTGAGTGTTATCCCATGTTTATCATACTTGCCACACTCATTAGAGATACTAGCGACTTAAGGGATTGCACCAGTCCAAGGACGCTCAGATGACATTGGCTTAGACATTTGTTTCTTCTGTCTTCTAAAATCTGAGGTTGAAAGTGGAGTTGGACGGGGGAATTTAGTCACATCCTGAGACCACAACTAAGTTGCTTCCAGGGAGAAAATAAGAATCACTTAGAGTGATTCTAGGTGCTTTCAGACAGAAAGGGTCATCTACATCATCTACAAAAGAGCTAGAGCCAGACTTTACACACCTAACCCCTCTCTCTTCCCTGAACTCCAGATTCGCCTATTTCATCGACCTGTTTGGGAATTTGATATTTCCACTTGGATAGCTACCAGGAGTCTCACAATCTTGTCCAAAACAGTACTGTTGGCTTTCTCCTCCAAACCTCTCGTCACTCATGTCAGTAAATAGCAGCTCTTTCCCCGTGCTCTCTCCAAAACCCTGCAATTAATCCTTTATTCTTCTCCTGTCTTAACGTACATTCAGTTCATCGATTTGAAAATATGTCAAAGATGATCAAATACATTCAAATATATTGTCAATAAATTCAAAATATACCAAAATATATCTTAGTCTTCCACTGATGCCACCTCTCTCTCCTGAACTGCTCCTGTTCCTTGCTTCTACTCTTGTTCTCCTACAGTCTATTTCTTTCTTTCTTTCTTTTTTGTTTTTTTTACAAATAGTTTATTGTCAAATTAGTTTCCACATAACACCCAGTGCTCATCCCCTCAAGTGCCCTCCTCCATGCCCATCCCTCCTCCCCCCCCACACCCATCAGTCCTCAGTTTTTGTCAGCATTCAAGAGTCTCTCATGGTTTGCCTTTCTCCCTTTCCCCCACCATTTCCCCCCTTCTTCTCCCCCTTGGTCCTCCGTCAAGTTCCTCCTAATCCTCCTATACGTGCAAACATATGATATTTGTCCTTCTCTGCCTGACTTATTTTGCTCAGCATAACACCCTCAAGGTGTTGCAACCTTCCATGTTGCTACACATGGCCAGATTTCATTCTTTCTCATTGCCACGTAGTATTCCATTGTATAGATAAACCACATCTTCTTGATCCATTCATCTGTTGATGGACGCTTAGGCTCTTTCCATGTTTTAGCTATTGTTGAGAGTGCTGCTATGAACACTGGGGTACATGTGCCCCTACGCATCAGCGTATCCCTTGGGTAAAGTCCTAGCAGTGCTATTGCTGGGTCCTAGGGGAGTTCTATTGTTAGTTTCCTGAGGAAACTCCACACTGTTTTCCAGAGGGGCTGCACCAGTTTACATTCCCACCAACAATGTAGGAGGGTGCCCGTTTCTCCACATCCTCGCCAGCATCTAAATTTCTCTGATTTCCTCATTTTAGCCACTCTCTACATTCTATTTCTTTAGCATAGCATCCTGGGTGAACTTTAAAGGTAAACATCAAATGGCGCGCCTGGGTGGCTGTTGGTTGGGCCTCTGACTTTGGCTCAGGTCATGATCTCACAGTTTGTGGATTTGAGCCCCATGTCAGGCTTTCTGCTAAAAGCTCAGAGCCTGGAGCCTGCTTCAGATTCTGTGTCTCCCTGTCTGCCCCTCTCCCTGCCTGCCCCTCTCCCCGCTCATACTCTGTCTCTCTCTCTGTCTCTCTCTCATAAATAAACGTTAAAATTTTTTTTTTTAAAAAGGAAAACACCTAATAATGTCATTACTCTGATCAAACTCTCCAAAGGCAGTCCAACGCATGTAAGACAAAAATCTTTGCAGTGGCCTATGAAGCCCCCATATGGCCTACATGATCAGTCAGCTACCTCTCTGACCTTTTCTCCTTGCAGATATTTCCTTCATTCACTGTGCTTCAGCCACACTATTGCTTATTGCTTATTCCTTGAACTCTCCAAACTTATACCTGCCTCAAGGCCTTTGCACTGGTTTTTAGAGTACATAGTTTTCATTATATTCCTACCCTGTAAAGGAAACCTTCCCCCACTTTTCCCCTCCCCATCTCCACATTTTACCTGAGCTTTTCAAACTTCAGCCTTCAGCCTAATCACTTAATAGATCCAAGCAAGCATGTGCAAAAGTACGGAAATGTTTCGTGGGACATTGGAAAGAAGGGATGGTTTTAGTACAATACTAGGAAATAAGTTACTGTTTTTTTTAATTTGGCAGGACAGACAGGGGGGTCTGCCAGTGATATTTGGGATTTTATGTAGGTACATTAAAAAAAAAAAGTGTATAAGCAAGAGAATGAGTTAGGACACTTGCAGTGTGCCTAACATTTTTTTTTCCAGGAAGTTTCAGTTTTGTGCCTTTTAGTACTTTATTTTGTGTTCTCATTTGACTTCTTTAAAATGTGTTTTCAAACGTTACTAAAGGTAGAAAGGTGGGGCACCCGGCTGGCTCAGTGGGTTAAGTGCCCGACTTCACCTCAGGTCATGGTCTCGTAGTTTGTGAGTTCGAGCCCCGCGGTGGGCTCTGTGCTGACAGCTCAGAGCCTGGAGCCTGCTTCAGATTCTGTGTCTCCCTCTCTCTGTATTTCCCACACGCACATGCACACACACTCTCCCTCTCAAAAATAAGCATTAGGAAAAATTTTTTAAAGAAAAAAGGTAGAGGGTAAAGTCTTATGCTATATTTGATGCCCAGATTGAGAGAATGAGTGAAGCTAGTTTTGTATGTAATATTACAAACAATTCTGGGAAAGGACAATTTAGGAAAAAGGAAGTGTCCTGAGTGGTACTGAAAACTGCAAACAGGGGCGCCTGGGTGGCTTAGTCGGTTAAGCGTCCGACTTTCACTTAGGTCATGATCTCGCGGTTCGTGGGTTCAAGCCCCACGTCGGGCTCTGTGCTGCCAGCTCAGAGCCTGGAGCCTGTTTCAGAGTCTGTGTCTCCCTCTCTCTGACCCTCCCCTGCTCACGCTGTCTCTCTCTCTCCTAGAAATAAATAAAAACATTAAAAAAATTTAAAAAACAAACAAACACTGCAAACAGGTTCTTCCCAAGCAATACGGCAACTACGTAGCCGGTATGTCGGTTATCAAAGTATGAACAACCTGCTGTGTTCCAGAGGCTCTTACCCGACAGTCCTCCTGTGATTTGGGGTCAGTGGAAATATGTGGGACTTTAGTGTTAAACTGGCTGATGATTCAGGGTCTAATGGCCTTTGAATTGTTTTAGGAAACATTGCTTTTAAACATCTAACTCAAAAATGGAGAAGTCCTTGGGAATGCAAACTGGTGCAGCCACTCTGGAAAACAGTATGGAGGTTCCTCAAAAAGTTAAAAATAGAACTACCCTCTGACCCAGCAATTGTACTACTAGGTATTTGTACAAGAGATAGGGTCTGCTGTTTCAAAGGGGCATGTGCACCCCAGTGTTTAGAGCAACACTATCAACAATAGCTAAAGTATGGAAAGAGCCCAAACTTCCATTGATGGATGAATGGATAAAGAAGCTGTGGTATATATATAATGGAGTATTACTCAGCAATCAAAAATGAAATCTTGCCATTTGCAACTACATGGATGGAACTAGAGAGTATTATGCTAAGCGAAATTAGTCAGAGAAAGACAAATATCATATGACTTCACTCATATGAGGACTTTAAGGTACGAATCAGATGAACATACAGGAAGGGAAGCAAAAATAATATGAAAACAGGGTGGGGGGGAACAGAAGAGACTCTTAAATGTGAAGAACAAACAGAGGGTTACTGGAGGGCTTGAGAGAGGGGGGAATGGGCTGAATGGGTAAGGGGCATTAAGGAATCTACTCCTGAAATCATTGTTGCACTATATGCCTAGATGTAAATTAAAAAATAAAAAATTTAAAAACAATTTTTAAAAATGGAATAAAAAAATATGAAAGTCCATTTTTTCAACTAAAAAAATGGAGAACTTTTTTATTCTCTAATATTTAGTGCCCCTGTTTTCAGAGAGAAAGAAAATGAACTGCTCTAAGCCAATGACATTTTTTAGATTAGTTTTAACAATGTAAGTTCTTGGACATTTTAGGATTAACAGACCCAGATCCTGGAAATCCCTGAGCATCTATAAACCTCTTTCCTCCTCCCTTCCTTATCCAGGTTGGAAAACAGCAAAACTGCAACTATGGAGAATGTAGGTTATCAACAAACACCTGAGAAAAAAGGGTTTATTATAGATAAGTGGCCTTTGCATTATGACAGTTTAATGCCTCCAATTTGAGCAGTGAGTACGTATTGTTCCATGTACCTGAAAGGAACACCGAAATGGGGCAGTAGAGGTGTGTAACCTAGAAATTACTTCGACCATATTATCAAGATATAGAAGGTTCACGAGAAAAGTTTACTTATAAGTACTGGGCGTAGTCTCAGAAGTATTGCTTTGCATGTTTACGAACACATTAATTTTCCAGAGCAATAAATGCAATTACAATATACAGATCCAATCTAATTGCTTTACAGCAAAGACTGCTTAACACTAATTTCTAGAATCTTGAGTGTATTTACATTGACTGGCACACATCCCTAACCGTTTCCCTGTTCAAGCTAAGTTACTTTGGTGAATGAATACACATACTCTACCTAGCCCTCCATTATATCGAAGAATCAAGTCCCAACTTGGGATCCTTTCATGTCATCCAAAGGAATAAGGCTGACATTAACTAACAAATGAAATACATGCTACGGAAAATTAACGGATTTTTAAGCGAGGTAGAGAAAAAATAGCTTCTTTCACCGAGATGAGTGGCTCTGAAAAGAGCCTTTGGAGTCCAGCGGCCGGCAACCCGTGCGAGCGCCCTGTCCCTGCAGGGACTCACTTGGAGCTGGTATACTTGGTGACGGCCTTGGTGCCCTCGGACACGGCGTGCTTGGCCAGCTCGCCGGGCAGCAGCAGGCGCACGGCCGTCTGGATCTCCCGGGACGTGACGGTGGAGCGCTTGTTGTAATGCGCCAGGCGGGAGGCCTCGCCGGCGATGCGCTCGAAGATGTCGCTGACGAACGAGTTCATGATGCCCATGGCCTTGGACGAGATGCCGGTGTCGGGGTGCACCTGCTTGAGCACCGTGTACACGTAGATGGAGTAACTCTCCTTGCGGCCGCGCTTGCGCTTCTTGCCGTCCTTCTTCTGGGCTTTGGCAACCGCCTTCTTCGAGCCCTTCTTGGACGCGGGAGCGGATTTTGCCGGCTCGGGCATCGCGGGAAGCGCAAGAGACGGACGACGAGGCCGAGGCTACCGGAAGCGGCTCGGCACTAATAGAGGCCCTAGACCAACGAAGACTGTGGCTACGCAGCGCCGTGGTTCGCGAGCTTTCCGCGCCGCTGCCGCGAGGGGGACGAGATTATGGAAATGAGTGGATTCATGCTGAGCCAGCCTATTGGTCGTCGGAACAAAGCTCTGCCTTAGCCAATCAAAGTGCTCCGTAGACAATCCGGGTTCTGCCTATAAAGGGCTGAA